TGTATTGCATCTTCTTCTTCACAATACCCCATAGATTTTCTATGGGGTTAAGGTCAGGAGAGTTTGCTGGCCAATTAAGAACAGGGATACCATGGTCCTTCAACCAGGTACTGGTAGCTTTGGCACTGTGTGCAGGTGCCAAGTCCTGTTGGAAAATGAAATCTGCATCTCCAAAAAGTTGGTCAGCTGCAGGAAGCATGAAGTGCTCTAAAACTTCCTGGTATGTGGCTGCGTTGACCCTGGACCTCAGAAAACACAATGGACCAACACCAGCAGATGACATGGCACCCCAAACCATCACTGACTGTGGAAACTTTACACTGGACTTCAAGCAACGTGGATGAAGTGCCTCTCTTCTTTTCCTCCAGACTCTGGGACCTTGATTTCCAAAGGAAATGCAAAATTTACTTTCATCAGAGAACATGACTTTGGACCACTCACCAGCAGTCCAGTCCTGTTTCTCTTTAGCCCAGGCAAGACGCTTCTGACGCTGTCTGTGGTTCAAGGGTGGCTTGACACAAGGAATGCGACAGCAGAAACCCATGTCTTTAATACGTCTGTGTGTGGTGGTTCTTGAAGCACTCACTCCAGCTGCAGTCCACTCTTTGTGAATCTCCCCCACATTTTTGAATGGGTTTTGTTTCACAATCCTCTCCAGGGTGCGGTTATCTCTCTTGCTTGTACACTTTTTTCGACCACATCTTTTCCTTCCCTTCGCCTCTCTATTAATGTGCTTGGACACTGAGCTCTGTGAACAGCCAGCCTCTTTAGCGATGACCTTTTGTGTCTTGCCCTCCTTGTGCAAGGTGTCGATGGTCGTCTTTTGGACAACTGTCAAGTCAGCAGTCTTCCCCATGATTGTGTAGCCTATAGAACTAGACTGAAAGACCATTTAAAGGCTTTTGCAGGTGGTTTGAGTTAATTAGCTGATTAGAGTGTGGCACCAGGGGCCATCAATTTTGAACCTTTTCACAATATTCTAATTTTCTGATATGATGAATTTGAGATTTTCATTTGTTGTCATTTGTAATCATCAAAATTAAACCAAATAAACATCTGAAATATATGAGTTTGTATGTAATGTATGAATATAATATACAAGTTTCACTTTTTAAATGGAATTACTGAAATCAATCTACTTTTTCATGATATTCTAATTTTATGACCAGCACCTGTACAGTCTCAACCTGCGGTCGAGGAGTGTCTGAGGCACATCACTGCGCGGAGGAGGATCTGCATTTCCGGGCAGAAGTCTGCCGAAACCACTTCATTTTCCTGAATTACAAGGCTTAAAAGGCCCGGATAGGCACAATAATCCTGTTCCGGTGTCCTTCCATTGAGAAAAGGAGATTGCACCCTCTCCTTAAACTCACTGTTATATTGGCACAATACTCCAATTTTCAGTGAGCAACGGACACTCAGGTGGAAACCTGAGGTTTACAACTGAGGAGGAACGCGTGAAGGATCAGGCTACAAGATCATCATTAACTTATCTTCTCTTTATTGCGTGTTTTCGTTTTTTGCGAACTCTTTAAGAACATTCGTTTTCTTTTTGCGTGTATTTTTGGATCGTTTCCTGACGAAGAATTCATATTCATTTTTGAAAGACTATCGAAGGAGCATAGAGACGAACTCTAACTTCTTATTGTTGAATTGTGAAAAAAAAAAAAAAAAAAAGGTCTTTTGTAATTTTTATGTGTTTATGATGTATTTTTTTATGTTGGTATTGTTTTGTATTGACAAATTGTAATTTTTGTGGCGAGTATTGTCTTTTAAGTCTGCTGAGCATTTTTTAGTAATTTCGAGATATCTTACTCTGGTTTTCTAATTTTATACTTGGGCTGGTATTTCTATTGTGTGTTTTCTTCTATTGACATAACGGAGTTTTATGATTTTTCATGTTTGATAAGTGAAATGTATTTTTAGTTTAGTTTTTACTGGTTAAAATTTTGTGGTTCATCAGGTGAGTATTAAATTGTTGGACAGCGCAAGATACATTTGATAAGTTTAGATAATGGAGTTCAGCTTCAGACACATGACCTGGCAGTGGAACTAGGAGGTGCTGTTTAAAAAGGGGACTGTTATAAAATTGGGCTAATGTTTTAGTTTTTTAGTATACTAAATAGTTTTTTGGTTCCTCTATTAGAAGGCTTAATCAATTTATTTGTGAGGTCTGTATGTCTCAGACCTCAAAACGGGGACTGTTAAAGAAAAATGATTATTTTTTAGACTTTAATACAGTTAATCTTATGGCATGTGTAAACACTCTCACTTGAACATATTTCTTAATTTTGAATAAGGCTGTGTTGATGATTTAAAACTACTAATGGGTAAGTATTTAGAGCACCAGGCAATAGAATGAGTATCTCCTGGGGGGTGAATAACAGTTAAGCCTGCAGGAGAGATTTCTGCTTGGTTTACAGAAGGTCAAAAGTCTTCCAGAATAAACAACCAGGGATGGTGTGAAAACTGAATCAGGAAAAAGGCCCCCGCATTCCACAAGCTGTCTGTGGAAGCTTATCTTGTGTTTTATGACTTTAAGAATTCTAGATGCCAGGACAAGCTTTCCGCCTTTTCTTGTTAAAACAAAGAAGCAAATGACCCCAGATGTTTGCAGTAAATTAGGTAAAGTTTTAGGCAGTGTCAGAGATGGCTTTTGGTTGGAGGACCGAGGGCCAGCCCTTTTTGAATGGATTAGATACAAGAGGATAAAGCTTTCTAAATAGAAGTTACAGATCAGATTTGCCCTTGCAACTCTCCAAAGATGTCTCTGTAGTCTTTGCTTTCTTTCCTCCTATGTCAGGTAATGGAATGTATGTCTCTGTTGTTCTGCAGTTTTGTTGTTAATTCATAAGCTGTTTTTTGTTGGATTAAATTCTGTGATTCTGTGACGTTCGCATATCTTGCTGGTTTTCCTTGGGGGCCACACGCAGCTCGCTGAGCGCACCTGGGAGAGGAAGAGAAACACCCAACCTTTTTCCAAAGTTAACTATTTAGAATATTTTCTTCCTTAACAATGTCCAAAGTATCAACTATTCTCATTAATGTGTGTTATAGGAATATATATCTGGAATTAGACATTTTGAACAAGGAATGCTGTAAAACAGAATGACTTTGAAAAACAATCTTTGCAAATTGAGGAATTAAAGTCAAACAATTCACTGAATCTAGTTTAATGAGTAAAATTCTTTGTATTCTTGGTATACTGTAGCATTATGGTGCATTCCCAATTGACATATGCTACATAGAAACATTGAAAACATTTGGTTTAGTAGACTATAGATGATCTACAAGCAGGGCTGTGATTACCTGAACCAGAGGCAACATACGAATGGGGACCAAGGAGAGCGTAAATACACCTTTCCATAATACTGCAAGCTGTCAGTCACTCAACTTTTTTCACAAGCGATAATGAATGTAGCCCTCTCCTTCTGCAGAAGCCGTTAAAAAATCCCTCTTCTGTATGGACTCAGTTTCTCTTTTATGAACCTACATTTTTGAACCTAACAGTAGTGTAAATGGGGTAAATGTTAGAGAATCTTGAAAAAAAAATTCTGTTTCCAAATTATGATGTGGATCATTGTCAAAATGCATTGGATTTTTCCTTGGCACGAGGGACACCTCTGAAACAAATTTAATTAAAATCATGTTATCCTGTACACAGACAAACAGAGACACAAATTCTCCTAAAAACATAACCTCTTTGGCGGGTGTAATGAAAATATGCATTTAATGTTTTTGTTCTAAACTTCAAATGTTTATTCCTTCATAAATGTTAATGTTATGATCCTGCCCTTTGTGGACTTTTTGAGTTTTCATCTACATTTTAATTTATGTCATTCTTGGTCATCGTTTCTTTTTCATTTTGTTTCATTTTAGTTGTTTTCTTAATTTTAAGCTGTGTTGTGATCCTATAGTAACTCTCTGTTGCCCCCTTGTGCCCGTCTCTCTTCCCCCTAGCTCCCTTCTAGTTACTTCTATCCACACCTGCTCCGTATCGGCTCATTAGCCCATTCCTTGTTCTGTTCCCTATATGTACATCAGCTCAGCAGTTCGTCATTGCTGGTTTCTTTGCTACCATGTGTGTTTCTATGACATCTCCTAAATTTTCTGTTTTCAGTCATTTTTATTTTTGGAATTTTTTTCTATTGCATTTGTGATTTTTATTAAATCTACAAAAGCGTATCCCTGCTTTCTTATTTGGGTCCTCAAGCAACTTCTACCAAAGCCTTATTACCTAACCCTAATTTACTAAAAATATATTTTTAGGTGATTGATTGTTTTAAAAATAATAGTTACATTTATTAATAAAATTGTAAAGATCTCAGAATGTAGGACCCAGAATTCGAGGCGAGACAGGCAGTGGGAAAGTTCAAAGCGTTTATTTAACAAAAACAGGTGCGCGGGGCTGCTCGTCTGCTGCGGGGCGGCTCTCTGATTCAAAGTTCAGTCCGTTTGCGGAGCTTTGACCGCAGTTGCGGCGGGAGACGCCCCCAGAGTTCCTAGAGAGCGCGCAGCAGACGCCGAGCAGCAACAGAGTCCAGAGGGGAAATCCAAGGCCGAAGTCAGACGACAGTTCCAGGTTCAGAAGCCGGTAGAATCCAGGATCAGACAGGACAAACAGAGCAGACAGGGGCAAGGCAAAAAACTCGAAATCCTCAGGGTGGAAACTGGTCAATATCAGGGAAACAGGCAGACTACAGATTGCTAGGGAACGTATCTCAAAAACACAAGAATAACCCGGCGCTGATGGGAGGCAAACACACAACTTAAATAGTAGAGGAACCAGGTGGAAATGATCGGCAATAATCAGCCGCAGAACCAATTAGACAGAAAAGCAAGGAGCAAAGGAAAAAACCAAACCATCAGCGCCGAGATCATGACAAAAATAAATGATTTCTACAGTCCTACTTGAAATAAGAGCTGTGAAATTAAGGTGGGAGAGGTTGTTTGAACTCAGTGAAAGGCTAGTTTATCTCTTGAAGAAACTTTGTACTAGTGTACAATGCTCCAGGGTACAATGTGGGAGCAGGACTTTGCAAACAAGCTGAGTATAAAAGCCAGAGAACGATGCCTTTGCTCACATTTCCAATCACAGACACAATGACTAAGGTGAGTTATACTTTGCAAAAGCAGAGAAAACTCTACCGATCGGATTAAACAATTATTTCTCAGTTGAAGGAAATATATTTTTAGAGAAATAATCTGTTTAATTATTTTAACAATAATGGAAATTTCATATATTTAACCTTTGACTTTCTTCTTTTGTTTATTTTCTATTTTAGATGGTGCTTTTGCTCCTGTTGGTGACAGCATGTGCTGCCAGTCCTCAAAGTAAAGAATAGATTTTTATCTTTAGAAAGTCGTTTCAGACTATATTAAAACTATTAATAAAAAACTAATTTTAAAGAAAGTATTTTACTGTTGACAAAAATATTTAGGAGATGGTTAAAGAAATATGTCTTTCATAAGGAAAACATTGATGTAAATAAGACCTTAAAACTAAACTTGAATATATTGAAAGTTATTTTCAATATTGAAATTCCTACAAAAGATCCAAACCTTTTTTTTCACTGAATTTGTTTTTGGTTCAGCATTTATCTATTTTGTTTATTTAAATCAGGATTTACTGTAATTCACAATTATTTTTTTAAGGTCTTTCAGGTAAAATGTTCATCTTTCCACAAGAAACTAACACGGCATACGTAAAGTTAACAACATCAATACAAGACCTAAGCGCCGTCACCGTCTGTTTCAGGTAATATTGCTTTTGTGAATTTGACAAAGACATGAGACCTGGGTGTTTTTTGCGAAACCACAATGTAAATATGAATATCTCTACTATGTGTACAGGTCCTTCACAGAACTTAAAAGAGATCACTCGCTGTTCTCTATGTCCCTACCCTCTGCAGATAATGCCTTTCTGATCTTTAAAAAAGCTCAACGTGACCTCTTTCATTTCGCGGTCCAAAATGAACTTGTACAGCCTGAATCTCAGGACTACAAGCTGAACATGTGGCAATCTATATGTGGAACATGGGACTCCTCATCTGGACTCACACAGATGTGGTTGAATGGAAATCCATCAAGCTTTAGATATACCACCTCTGGAAACAATATCAATGGACCAATAAGCATTATTTTAGGACAGGTAAGCTTTTAACTAGTACATATTGAGCACTGTATTCCTTATAGATCAATTATGATGACTTCTCCAGAGCCTAATATCGATATGGAGTCAGAATTCTGCCAAAAGGGCACATGCTTAATACTTATTCGAGCATTTTTATTTAAAACATATGCATGTCAACTAATCTCCATGTGCATTTTGGAAAAGGCCCCCAATATGTCACATGCATAAGTAAATGCTCCTCTGCACTCGTAGCTTATATGTTGGTGAAGATTCTCGGTCATCCAGGTCACAGTCATTCCAAAAAAATAAAAACAATACACTCGACTTTGTTTCCAAGTTTCAAACTTGGAAACAATTTCTAGAATTTTTTTTTTTTTTGGTAAATTTTGGATGATTACGATTTTAATTGTTTTAATTGAAGTATTAAAAACTATATGCATGTATTTTAAAATAGGTTTACTTTATTCAAAAATATATTTTAAAGAAACAAATATTTAGCCAAGAATAAATACATATTGAAAAAAAAATGTAAACTTAAATATTCATAAGATAAATCTAATATAAGATAACATAAACAATGATTGTTCTGATTTTTTTATCAGTAAGAAATGTACACTTACACATATATTCAGTCCAAGTGCAAGAAAAAAGCTTAATTTGCTGATTTATGCAATTTATCAGTCAATAATTATTTTTCAATAATATTGATCTTCTGGGAAGTTAGTGTTTTGTAAACAGCAGCTGTTGAGAGCCCAGTTCATGTCAATATAATGCAGATAAACTCATGTGCGGCTGAAGAAATCGACTGGACCAAAGGTCTACGGTAGTTGCAAAAATGAAAGCAGAGTCCAACTTTTCACAGAGTGCTTGTTGTGTTTCGTTGTACAGTTTTGGTAGCGCAACCTCAGCAAATATTTGCAACTCGGTGGGTCCAGAGATGGGGGATCTGGAGTCATGAAGTCATCTCTATGTCATGTATTTGTTCTGACCAGGTGAGTCCGATCTGCAAAGGTTAAAGCTGTCATGTCGGGTTTTAGGTTTCTAACCCACATGCAGAACACCACGGAGTCAGAGTAAAAGTTTAACAGTTTATTTGGAAAAAGCACAAATTTATTAGGCAGATACTGGAATCAGATCCAGGACTGGTCACACAGGGTTCTCTGCAGAGAAGGACAGTTGGGTTAGCCAGGAAGCTAATGATCTTGTATCTGAGATGATGTGCAGGTCTGTACCTGTTCAGAGGTTCTAGCTGAACGGCAGAGGGAGGGAACCAGAAGGGTCCAGAGACTGAGCGACGGCAGAGGGCTAGGCAGCGACAGGACTTGACTTCAGACTTGTTAGTGTTCAGAGTTTCTCCAACTTCTCTTCTTGAGGGCTGGCAGGCAGATTCAAACAGTTTGATCTTCAGGTTTGTTTCTGAGAGCAGGCAGGCAGGATTTCTGTTGAGTAGCTAACTCTTCCAGAGCTCCAGGTTTCAGTCAGGTTCTTCCTAGGAGGCAGAGAGGACAAAAACTGATTAGGTTCAAAGTCAGGTTTTCTGGGGAGTCAGAGAATCAGGCAGGCGGGTTGGCTCAGGCTTGCTAACCGTAACTGGCTTAACACTCTGGCACTGAAGAGTAGTCCTGCCGCTGGTTATATGCTGGTCTACCTGATGAGCAAATCAGCCGCGGGTGTGGTAGTCAGCTTCCGCTCCAGGAGACCTAGGGCGCCCTCTGCTGGAGAAAAGTAGACAGATCTCCAGATCCCAACAAAAGCAGATTGGACTCACCTGCTTCAGTGGCTGGGTAGAACAAATACATGACAAAGAGATGACTTGTTGACTTGAGCCGGCCCTCATTTCTCACACAGACATTTGTGCTGCCTGTAACATACTGGGGGATTCATGGTACTGATCTGAATACATAGAATGTTCAAAATGTGCATGGAGAGTAGTTAATATGTGAGTGTTTTGAATGATACTGCTTGTAAGATTATTGATTACATATGTGCCTTTTTTGGAAGAGTATGGAGTTTATATTAGGAGCAAAATGTTTGCTTTGATATTAACATATCTTAAGGAATATAAAACATGCATGTGCCATATTTTGTTTTTTTCCTGTTTAGCACCTATTAGATATCATTTTTAATACATCCTCTTTAGTGAAACTTCAAGATTGTTGTTCTTTTAAGCTCAGCTTTTACTGTAGCTGTTGAATTGTCACAAACTTCTAAAGATGTAAAATACTATGATGTTTTAAAGTTTTTTATTCCATACCTCTGCCTTTCCTACAGGAACAAGATTCATACAGTGGTGGTTTTGACGCCACTCAATCGTTAGTTGGAATGATGACGGATGTTCATATGTGGGACTACACCCTCTCCCCATGTGATATCCAGGGCTTTATGGAAGAGAAACACTTTCCTGAAGGGAATGTCTTCAACTGGAACTCTGCAGAATTCCAGATTGAAGGAAGAGTGCTGATAAAAGATAAACAGCAGTTTTGCCAGTAAGGGTGTTTCAGCATGAAGGTCCATATACATATGAAGAAAAATAAATTGTTGTGATTAGGAGTTAAATTCTTTTGATAAAATGTATCTTTTTTTTTATTATTTTCATTGTAAGAACAAATGTGTTTGTAATTCACATAACTTGTGATTCACCTACCTTTCTATTATGTTATCACTATATGTCCAAAGTATAAACTATTCTCATTAATGTGTGTTATAGGAATATATATCTGGAATTAGACATTTTGAACAAGGAATGCTGTAAAACAGAATGACTTTGAAAATCAATCTTTGCAAATTGAGGAATTAAAGTCAAACAATTCACTGAATCCAGTTTAATGAGTAAAATTCTTCGTATTCTTGGTATACTGTAGCATTATGGTGCATTCACAATTGACATATGCTACATAAAAACATTGAAAACATCTGGTTTAGTAAACTAGATAATCTACAAGTAGGGCTGTGATTAACTGAACCAGAGGCAACATACGAGCTGCACCAAGCAGTGTAAATACACCTTTCCATAATACTGCAAGCTGTCAGTCACTCAACTTTTTCCTCAAGCGATAATTTGACAAAGTTTTAAATGATGTTTAAAAAATGGCCGAAATGTCTTCAAATTACATCTGACCATGTAATTTCCAGCCCCATTATTGTCAGAAAGCAGTGTTGGTATGGAGGACCCGAATGCAGAGACGAGTTGGCTGAGATGAATTTAAGTGGTTTAATTAAGGTTCACAGGCACAGAGGCTGGAGTAAAAAAAATCCAACAAAATAACTCATGAACCAGAATCTAGGAGACATCAAGGGGAAACCAAAATCTAAGGACCAGGAAGATACGAGGAAGGCAGGCAGACAGACAATTGACCAAAGGTTAGACTAGAAGTAAGACGAGGATCCAGCAAACAGGAACTGAAGAGGGAGGGCTTTTAAAGGGGACAGAGACAGGGAGAGGGCTAATGAGGGAATTGAAAACAGGTGAGAGCTGAACAGAAAACAGAGCAAGAGAAAGAGGACACTCCTATCACCTGTCGCAATGCTAACCAGGGTTTATTGGTTTGCAACTCCTGTCCGGCGCGCGGATGACGTCACACACGCTTTGTTCTTAAAAAAATATGAATATAAAAAATATAACCGCGGATGTCTGGGGGACAGTCTTATGAATGCTGGCGTACCATAAAGAATAAATTATGAACAGTTTAGTTTGTGCCTTCATGTCGTTGCCCATAGGAAGACGTTACTTAGATATATCAACACAGAATATCTTCAGAACAGCTTCAAATGACTCAAAACTAATATGGGTGAGAAGAACATGATGTAATAACGCAAAATTAAGGGCCAAATGTTAAAAAAAATGGCGTTCCCCTTTAGTTTGACAAATACCAAATGATTGCTGTTAAAAGTCCGTCTGTTTGTTTAGTACCACATTACCCATGATGCATCTGTTCATTTTGTAGTTCTAATTTCACGTGGCTGAGCAAGTTGTGTTTTCCATGCTTCTTGGTGGTTCGGTGGCACAAAATAGCATCCACTATTAATCCTTCTTTAACCAAGTGTGTATGAAACCTGTGTGCGTTTTTACGATGTAAGTATGCATTTTAGGTCAGATATTGTGTTTTTCTGTCAGTTATTATCCCAGGAGGTTAAATTGTCCTTTAGTTTCTCTGGTTACTGACAATACTTATAATAACTCAAGTTCTTAGTGTCAAGTTGTTCTTTTATTTATAGATATGTATCTCACACAGAGCTGCAGCTTCTGTCTCTCATACACTTAAATTACAGACTGCTGTGAGGGACCGGAAAACCCCCGCTCTATATTCTGTTGCTTTTCAAAGTAAAAGACGTCACATAGCATTACACCACACTTAGTTACACTTTTATTAGTAAATTTTATTATTAAATGAGGGCATTGCCGTTCATTTCATATTTTCCGACGGTTTGTCAGTTAAATGTTTATTACGTTTGACCAATAATGCATGTGTGATGTTATGGCGCCCTCCAGTGGATTTCCTTGGTATTACAAGCCAATTTCTACCCGTATCTGTATGCACCCGTTTTGCCTGCATGGCTATAAATATGTATCTTTATTGTTTCAGATAACCACACATCCATATATATATAACCCTAAAAAAACAAATATAAACCTCATCATCTGTACCATCATCTCCAATGTACCTGCTTCTATTCCATTAATAAACCTTCTGAGCTGCACCGATGGAGTTGACATATTCCTTCTGACCAAGGAAGATTCAACTGATGAGATATCTGGAATTAGTGCAATTTAAACGTACACAGTCTTCTACAATTGCTCTGGTGAATATTCAGCACTCTGTGCATATCGAAACACCACGTGGGCTCCTTTAAAAAAACCAAAAAAAACCCACCCATGTAACTTTAGAGGATTGAATCTGTTGATGAAAAAGTCAAGTGATCTAAATAATCAATTTGCAGCAGTCAAGCTTCCCTTAAACAAGAGAGCTAACTAACCCTATCTTACCCTTACCTGCGGCCAAGGCATTAGCCATTATACAGGCCAGAGGTTGACGTTAAGGATTTTTACCACTTGCCCTTCGGGCAAGTGACTTTCACATTTCATTTGCCCAGAAACAATTTTTACTTGCCCAGTATAATGTTTGATAAATATAGTTCCTAATATTCATTTTTGTATATATATCAATAAAACATGTTTGTTTTTTACATTTTTTTTGTAATTCAGTATTTTTTAAGTTTCCAGGTTCCTGGTGTGTATCTGCATGCTTTAAATAATGAACTCAAACCTACATTACCGTGTTAACATGCTTTTCAATCCTTCCTGCACATTCTTTTCAAACTAAACTTTGCTTTAAACTGCTGTGTGCTTGGAAAAATATAAATTGTAATGTTAAAAAAATCTAAAAAAAAAAACTTGACAGGTTAAAAACTTAAGATAAATAACAAGACAGAAGTCAATGTCCCAAATGAATAACTTTTATTTTAGAGTCACGGTATGTTTATAGAAGATAATACTATAAATATTATGTGACTTTTCTATAGAATCATTATACATAGTTATTTTATTCAGGGTTTCCACAGTCTGACATCATTTCAGAATTCCCTGCCTTTTAACCGACTCAGGATTAGTTTTCCCTGACAAAATAAATGCAGCAACAAGACAATAATAATAACATAACAGGTCACCAATCTAACATGTTTAGCTCTATAACATTTAAATGCACCTCTATGTCTAAGAGAAAAAAATGTAATGAACATTTATTAATGTATGACCTGCATCACTGTACAGAAGACTGCCATATGATAGCGCTTTCTAGCTTGTTTGGCGTTTTGGTAACAACATCAAAATTACCGCTAGGTGGACAAAAATCACGCCATCTGGCGGAAAATCAACCGGCTTTTTCAAATCACGCGAGAATGTGTACAAAACAACAAAAATGGTGCCGGCAACGCTTGTGGGTCGTTTTCAGCAAATGTCGGTGATTTTAAAGTAACTTTGAATGATAAATAATTTCTTTTGTGACCACTGCACTTGCCCGGGGAAATGCAATGAAATTTGTACTCTCCCAACAATCAAAACTACTTGCCCCTGGCGATCGGGCAATGGTTAACATCGAGCCCTGCATGCTATCTGAATAGTACTGGCAGTTAGGAAGGAGTTGGACCAGGAAGCAGCATTTTCCTTCTTTTATTGTTGCACTTTGTTTAGAATTCAGCTTTTTTTTTATTAATGCATTTAAAAAAAGAAAAGCATTGTACATTAAAGAAAAAAAGAAATGCAAAAGAAAGAGTTTAAGATTTAACTTCTATTCATTATAAATATCCTTTTTTTAATAAGTTTGCTATTTAAATCTGAAATTGACTCAATATACAGTTAAAATCCATTATAAAGAGGCAATGGCGTAACTATCGGTAAGCAGAGACTACAGTTGCTTCACTGACACCTGCTTGGCCCCCTAGGACGTCTCTTTGCAGATGTAATGATGGGAAAATTTCCTCTTAAACCCACCTGATACTAGTTTGACTGACCGGACCTTATTTATACCCCAACATATGGCAGATTTCAACATGATGGTGAGCCGTTTAAATAAAGCTACACATAGAAGCATGTAAAGGGATTACATAAATATTTTTGTATTCAGAGCATAAAGTTTAAACAGTCTTTTTGTTATTAGAGGAGAACAGTGTGGAAAAACAAGTTTTTGCTTCCTTTAAAAAAGAGATACATGAGGGTTTAATCATAATAATTTTACATTTGTTCATATAAAACTTGGCCAACAGTAGCAAAAGATTACAGAAGAAGAAATGGTGAGAAATATATTTTGTAATTTCTAATAAAACCTCCTCCTTAAAATAAAGTGCATTCAGTCTCTTTCAACACCTCCCTTGCCGCCCGCTTGTGACGTGTCAGAGCTCGCGCGCCCGGTGCTAGAAATTCCCGGAAGTTGCTTCTTCTTTCATGTGCAGCAGGGGCGCGCGAGGTGCGATGCGCTCAAAGCTTCTTCTGTCATGCTTACCTGCGCTCAGAGCGAGGTGGTGAAAGAAAGGAAGGGGGGAAAAAAAGGACAAAACATGAAACACGGATTATAGCTTTGCAGAGGTCAGCTTAAAACCAGGTAAATCAATTAAAGTTTATTATTCGGTTTATTTTAAACGTTTTTAATTTTCCCACGGTGTTAAAACATTCTCTCGAGTAGTTTCGTTTGAATCCCCCCAGGGGTCAGGTTTGTTTTTACTACGTAATTCGTGAATTTCTTAACTTGTTCTATGAGCTGCATGTTTCTGTATCCGGATAAATGTTGGATTGTGTTTTTAAAAGACACAGCCTGCCTCAGCACTGCACATCTCCACCTCAACAGCTTCTATACACAGCTTTTTAAACCTTAAATTGAAATATCTCTGAATAAACTAGTTATTTAGAGCTTGGTAACTTTTTTTTCCTTCTTCCTTCCTTTATTTCTTATCATATTTTTGATTCCATCTGTTCCTCTTTGTAACAAAGTGAGGTTTTGTGTTTAAGCAATACGCATGCAATGACTTGTGCCAAGTATGGAGTAAGATAACTGTCAATAAAAGTCTAAGTAAAAAAAGTAACTAAATTTAAGTTTTTTTTAAATTAAGCTTTTTTGCATTGGCTTCTTGTGTCAATACATGCATTCATGTGAAATCAGATTTTTAATCTGTGGGAATAAAGTTTTAGGAATAAAGCAAAAATTCAGCTACAATTATCACATTTAAGTACTAATCTACATCCCCTTTAAAGCCCGGACCATGAAATAATTGGCTGAAAATTCTATTTTTTATGTACAGTTGTCATTGATTATTATACATTGTGTTT